CAATATTATTCATAGAATGCAAACTGTAATATATATATATATATATATATATATATATATACCTTATAAGATTGGATGTTGATTGTTAAGTAATCTTAGATTTTTTTTAAAAAAAAACGCCAAAAATGATGATAAAGTTCAAGTTTTAGAGAGTTAAGTGTCACATTTCTATTCTTCAAAAGTATATTGAAACCTAATCATTAGAATTGAGCTTAGTAACTATTGTTATTATATAATGATGTAATGATATGCAATAGTGAATTATGTATTCAATTGTTAGAAGTGTTATAACTTGTGGGTTTGTTCCTTTATCAATGTATAACGTAATGACACCGGCAATTAGAGAACAGTGAATTATCGATCGGATCAATGACGCATAAAACCTCTACAAGCAGTTTAGAGTCCTTATCGGTCTGACTTACTGCCTAGTCCTCTCTGTTAAGTCCAGAACATCAATCTCAGCCTCTGCAATATCAATCATGTATTTCAAACATACTGGGTTTATATACAAACCAAACAGACTACATCGTAGCAATAAAATACGAAACAACATTTGTACAAGAATAAGCCAAATGTGGCAGTGAATGTGAGAGGTAGTAATTAATAAACTGGACATAACTTAAGAATGGTAGATCGTATAATGATAGTTCATAGGTTAAAACAAAGCTTATAATAAGAGGAACACGAATGTTTACAGTTTAGTTACTTAACAATTATATAATAAAAATATATGTATAGCGGTAGTCTAGAAATAGATTCTGACAGTTACCATTCATCATTCTCATTAGGATACAACAGGAAGTAAATTATTATAAACCTTAATAATAAGATCATGAATTGGATATTCATTTAACTATGATAATCAATAAAGGATAAAAATCCATATCAAGATTGAACTTGATAGTTTCAAATCAATTAAGTATTTTTATTTATTTATTTAAACAAATAAACATTGGTACAAGGAGGCACCAAATGGATATGCGCAACACAAATCATTCGATTTATGTAAGAGATGAGATAATGCCCGCACACCCAAACCGTAGCAGGTGGTTTTCTTAGTGGGCTTCTACCCAAGCCTTTCACCCAAAGGTCGTATCCACAAGATGGTGGAGCAACGTAAGGATTCGCGATCCTATCGTAGTCGTTGACCAACAACAGGTTCATACGCCATTTGTTCCTTCAGAATACTGGAACCTCATGTGCATTATTGATTTGGAATCAGGGTTTTCCAACTCTTCTAGGTGGACTCTCCGTGTCCATGATAATAAATATTGTTTTTTTAAATGTTATATCCCAATTTACCTGCTCATGTGGAGCTAGGTATGTAGGTCGTCCGATGCGTACTTTATTTAAAATAATTTAAGAACATTATCCGGCGTGTCTAGGAAGAGGAGGAAACGGTTCAATAAGAAGTATAATAATCGAACACCTTGTGTACACAAGTCACTCAATCAAGACAGACTCTGCGTTTAAAGTCATCTATAAGGTAAGTAAAATTCTTCCAAAGACAATCAGATTGCATCTTCTTTGCATTACCTAAGCAATAGCTATACATCTAGAAAAACCAGAATTGTGTGTGTAAAAAAGACTGGTACAACCTTTCCTTCTACCATGGTCTTAATGTCTTATAATTTTTTTTTCTCTTCATACTCTTCTTCCTTTGCAGCCATTTGTTTCTCCGTTCATGTTCCCTTTAAATCTTCTACCCCCACCCAACTGGTTTATTTCTGTTTCTACGATCATATTTAATCTCAAAATCAATATTTTATCTTATCTTTCTGAGCTATCCTATCTCAATGATAATTTCCCTATCGATCTTTTGATGAATATTTAAGCCATTAACAATCAAACGATTATTAAATTAAAATTCATTTAATATTGTTTGTTTGAATCTTCCCATTAATGTTTACGAATTCAATTGATCAGTCTCTCTCTTGTTGGCATATGTGTATACTGTGTGTACTGCCACGATATAGCCTTAATTTACAAGCATTATATACTAAGATATATAGTGACTAGCAGTGGAATCCAGGACACGTGTTTCATCCTATTTGAGACTCATAAGCTAGATATACCTGCACCTCAGAGTTGATGTCCCCTTGGGTTTTCTTTGTTTAGAAAAATTTTTTTAATACCTTTATTTATTTTATCTTACTGTCACCATGTCTAACAGAAGTTTATTATCAGCATTATTATCTTCCCGAAAAAAGTAAGTATACATATATATTCGCAATTGTACAGCTCTAAAAAATGAATTCACCGAAAAGAGAACTCTTCGCTAAACTAATCTTTCTTATTTAATCTCTTAATGGGTTTATTTCGTTTACTATATCCTAATGAATAGAAAAATTATATTTCTAACGATGTTTCGTGACTGAATATGAGCCACTTTTTTTCAGAGTATTATTATATTATTGAAACTTGTGTTAATTGAATTCGGTTATTTATTTACTCTGAAGAAGTAGCTTATATTTAGTCACGAAACATCAGGATAATATAACAAAAATATTATCAATAAACGGATCTTTAACATATACATCTTAAGATAATTATGAAATTTCTATGGTAAAGTCTTATTTTTCAGCCTTATTTTTTATACTTGTGACTTTTTGTTTTATCAGTATAGGGTTGTAGAGATGATTAAGTTATTGATTGAGATCATGAACCGATTAATGTTAGACCACCATTGAAAACCTGGAATCACTGAATGGCTGTTTCATCCTATTGTGGAACTTCCAAAATGTTTGATTGATAAGCGTTTGCAAAATGAGCTGCATTTGATGCATCTGTCTTCATTATACTGCTTGATTGATTTTCCGTTTGTTCGAGGGCGGCTACTGCAATAAGTTCATTTAATAAGACACCGTCTTTCTGTGAGCTGGACAGGTCAGTGTTTGTATATTATGTTTCGGGGACAGTGGGATTTGAATCTATTACCGGGCATGTTTCTGAAATGGGCAGTACTGGACCACTGGGCGAATCTTGAATGACCGCCATTTCGTTTAAATTACGGTTTGCCGAGGATTCATAGAGGCTGCAATCATTTTCCAGCTCAGTGTTCAATTGAGAAATTAATCCATCCACTTCCGTCGCATCTCCAAAGCATTAGTGAATCCGCAGCTGTGTGCGTAATTTGACTACGAACTCCAACTGTCACTCAAATAGCAGCTGTAATCGATCGGAAGGGAGATTCTTTTTTTGAATCAACACCGGTAATGAAAATTACCATATGACTAATGATCAATGTCGTTGCAGTACACTGATGACAAATCTAGATAATGATTGCTCAAAAAAAAAATCAGACTGAATTTCGTTCAATTACAGGTTGACTTTGGATAGTATTTTTTTTACCCGTCCCCGCTGATCACTTATACTTGAAACGAAAGAACTCTGCAATTCCCACGACGCAAAAGTAAGAACACAAAGACTGGTATAATTGAAGATCCATTAGCCCCAAAACACTATGACGACGACAATGATGATAATAGTAGAAAATACACACATTTATATATTGATTGTACACCCATTTTGATTATTAATTAAGATAAATTCACATATATGAAAAATACTTAGGGTTATAACAAATCACATACTGAGCATAGTTAAGGTCAATGCAATACAATAATATAATATATTATACAGAATTAAATATCATACGAGAAAAGAAAACAAATACTACATTGAGTAATTATGACATTGAATCAACATGGCAGTAATGTTGAACAAAACTCATCATGAGTAGATCAATCGAAAATTGATTTTTCTTTTCATCATATCAGTATCCACGATCCCGCTCACGGGATCTTGAAGTTAAGCGTTGACGCACGAGACTGAAATCCCTGGGTTCGAATCCCGCAAGCGAGATTGTGGATGTGAACTGTTGAAGAGTCTCATAATAGGACAAAATGGCCTATCCGGTGCTTTTGAGTTTTCTATTGTGGTCTAACATCAATCAGTTTATGATCTTAATTAAAAACGTTTTGTTTTGTCACAGTAAGATCACTATAAGTTTTGTAAAAAGAAAAAAGTGTTTTTTTTTCTCATCTACACGTTTCTCTACAATTGTAAACTGATACTACACAGTAATTGATTTACTGAAGCAGTGCTTTTTTTAAAAAACAAAAGTCGTGAAATGCTATAATATGTATATACCTTATCACCTGGGATTAAGGGAAGTAATGGAATTTGAGATATGCGGTGCGTTTTGTTTAGTACGATTTGGCTAGATATACCTGTATCTTTGTGCTGATATAATATAAAAGCAACGTTTAGAAACCATAATATATCCTGGTATATGATTATATAACCTAATTGTCAACAAAGACTGATCAAATATTGTGGTGATTATAAACAATGGGATATTATAAATCGTTATTAATATTTTATACCCATTGAAGAATTTAGTCCATATATGGACTGAGAAACTTAACGAGCAAACTGTTGGCATCTGGATAAACTTCATTGAAGCTCAATTTCACTATTCCCCTTAAACACTAAGACGCATGTACATCTAGTTGACATGTCAAAATACTCATACTTGATTCTAACCAAAATGCACCAATATTAAATCATTCAATCAGATACCATTAATCCAAGAAAAAATAATCAACTTCAATTCTGAATAACACAAAAATAAAAAGTTTACGAAATCTACTAGACATTGCTTACATGAATCTTATCATTAATGATTAGGACTGTAATTGATCAGTCTGTATTACTTATTGGCATATGTATATACTGTGTGTGTATTTTCTCAATATTAACCTTAATTTACAAGCATTATAAGTAAAAATAGATGACAGGTTAGCAATAAAATCTAGAATGTGCATTTCGTTCTATTTAGGACTTATCAGCTAAATGTTCACTCCGGGACTCGAACCCAATACCATTCACTTCAAACATCATCATGTGATCCACTTAGCTACCCAAATCCTTACTCCTTATTGATTGATATAGCAATATATGATATATTTATATATATAATATTATACACAACTTACCACAATTTTCACAATAATATGCATAAATTTTCTTTTCCATATATTCCGTATATTCTATTACTTCACTAATTGGTTCATAATAATTAAATAGTATATTATTATTCTTTAGAAAAAATATATATTTTGCATTTGAATAGAATACTGGTAAACATCCTATACCATTCCCATTATTATTATTATTATTATTATTATTATTATTATTATTATTATTATTATTATTATTATTATTATTATTATCTAATATATATACTGGACCAATAATAATTTCATTCCCAATTGGATAATTAGCCTTATAAATAGTTTTAACTAATACAGTTATATTGAAATAGATATCATCATCATTATCATTATTGTTAGTAGTAGTATAAGTAGTATCGGTAGTAGTATCGGCAGTAGTAGTAGTAATTATATGATTTGAATATGAATGAATTTGTTTATATTTCTCATATTTATCATGATATCTTAAACGTCCTGTTATAATTAAATCTGATTGTTGAATTAATTGTTCAATATTATTTAATATAATTCCATGACATGATTCTTTAGAATGTATTATATAATCTTCAGCATATTTATAATTCATTATATTTTTTTGTATTTTTTCATAATCAATACATTGATTTCTATGAATTATAATTAAACTATATAATATAAATAATATAATAACCATGGATACTATTTGTAATAAGATTGAACAGATGATTACATAATAATGGGAACTTTGGATAATAATGAATGTGTAAATTGAACAGTTATATTATTATTATTATTATTATCATTGTTATTATTATTCATTATAATAGTTACCTATTTTATGTAATATTCATATAATCACATCATTACACATACTCATATGTATTTGAAGTACTTGAATACATATGTATGTATAGTAGAATGAACATGATAAGAAGAAAAGAGAGAGAGAGAGAGAGAGAAACCGATATAATTGATTATGATTGGATAATTAGATTCTGTAGTACTTTAGTTGTTAATCTTATTGTCATAAGAGTTAATAGTATTTTTCTTTTTTTTTTCTTAGATTATGTTAAATATTGATGTATCAAAAAGGGGTTTTTATGGTTATAATATTAATATTTTTTAGTAGTTGAGATTATGAGTCAATTCAAGCTAGATCACGATGGAAAAGATGGAAACATTGGATAGATGATTTGTCCTATTGTGGGAGTCTTCAGTAGTATGCATTCACGATTCCACCTCACGAGATTTGAACCTATGAACTGTCAGTCTCGCACGCGAACGCTTAGTCTTTAGACCACTGAGTCTGACAGTATCCAATGATGTAAACGTGTAACTAGGTTCAAATTTCACGAAGTGCTGAAGAGTTTTATACTAGAACGAAATGGTAATCCAGTGCTTCTAGGTTTTCAGTGGTGTTTTAACACTGATCGCTTCATAATCTCTATATCAAATTCTGATTGTTAATACACTAAATCACATAAGCTTTAAATTATATTAGATAGAAGAACTCATATCATTTGGAAAATTATTTTCCTAGCACAAGATCCGAACTCAGGACCTACCGGTCTCGCGCGCGAACGCTTAACCCATAGACCACTAAGCCAGCCGGTATCGATTGGTATTAATATCTAACTTTGACTAATCCACGAATTTGAGGGACACATCCACCATTATCTTCAGTGAGTTACTATCTCACAACAGACCCGGTTGAACTCCACTGGTCATTGCTTCTCACCAGAACTACAGGAAATACCTCTTGAACTCAATCACTAGTGAGCATATAGTCTAGCTTCCATTGACTCATGGTCTCAACTATTAAAATATTGATCTGTTCGAATAACTTAATTCACTAAAAATGAAGTTATTCCTTTTTTTAAGACTCGTCAGTTGGATGTACCTGAATTTTAGAGTTGATGTTCACTCTGGGACTGGAACCTAGTACTGTTCGCTTCAAATGCCATCGCGTTATTCACTTAGGTTGATCATTTCTAAATTAAGTAGGCCAATGTTCTAGAAGAAAGCGTTAGGAAATGCATGAGGTCATACTGAAGTGAATAAGAACATGGGTGGGGATAATCAATATGTTTTAATACAAAATTAAGGAGTATTTTGATAAAATATGGGAATTATCCATTAAACACTTCATCTGTAAATTTCCACCACTTATCATTCACATATTGTATGTTTGTTCCGATTCCCAATTCTTTTCTAATTCCGTTTCTGTTTCCCTTCAGTCGATCTTCATAGCCTTTTGCTGTCAGGTTTTTCATTTCCGAATGATGCTACACATTACTTATGTCGACAGATATAAGTAGTACACACTACAATATTACACAACTTGATTGACAAGGAAAAAAATAAGTAAAGCTTATTCAACAAAGAGAAAAGTTTATTTTTAATTCAGAACATCAAGTAAGATGTTATAGAGTGAATTATCAAAAACCTAGATCATAAATGTAATACAAAACAGTGAGACGATAATATATAAACAATCTTAGAGCAACGCTAAAGGACTTTGAGAATGTCTAACTACTTACTAGGACTAATAAAGGGTTAGCAGATTGGATAAATGAATTTTGCACCAAAATACAAGAATTGTTATCGTAAATCTGATTAGTTCGTCCATAAATTACAATCTCGTCAAGTATTCTACTTCAGGTGGATTATTTCGTTTGTGTTGTATTCGCTAAGCTGGATATTATGTCAAAACTATCAAATGGAATACAAAGATAAGAAAAGTCGACAAAGACTCTTAAGATAATCATTCACCAATATGGTTGTCAGAACAAGTTAAATTAACACACAGTTCTACATATAATAAACGCTGATGAAGATATCCAAGACGCTAAAGAAAGCCTTTCTGTTAAACCATCTAGTTTAGACAACTAAAAAAATTAGCTCATTGAGTAAATGTTATTCAGTGTAACATTTCAAGTGAACTAATATTCAGTACGTGTTTTTACAATTACTCTATATGATAACCATACTTACTTACGTCCGTTACCCTTCATGGAGGAGAAAAGGTCGCTCACTAGCATTCTCTTTTTAAATCTGTCCTGAACATTCTTTTCCACTTGTTTTCAGTTGCTAATCATCTTTCTGACGTCTTATTGATATATTGATATTAGATACTAATCAGCTTAATTTTTCTATAAAAAAACAAATCTGTCTGTAAATAAATTATTTAAAAAGTAGTATATTGATGTCTCATATTGATTTACTCTGGGAGGTAAGATAAATCAATATAAGTAGTCTTTGTAATTTGACTATGAGGATTTTCAGCACCAAGCACAAGTTCATTGTGTATTCTACAAGCGTTACAGTGGTGTGCATAACAAAATGCAATAAATTTGAGGTCTTTTGTTGTATTACTTATTTACGCCCGTTACTCCCAATGGAGCATAGACCACTGACCAGCATTCTCCTACTCACATTGTCACTGGCCTTCCTTTCTAGTTCTATCCAGTTGCTGTTTATTCTTCTCCTATCTGTTTCCATTTCCCAGCGTCATGTATTCTTTGGTCTTTCTCTTCTCCTTTGATCTTAAAGAATACAAGTGAGGGCTTGTTTTATGGCACAATTCGATGCTTTCCTCAATATGTGTCATTTCCACTTTCAGCGCTTTTTACTGATTTCTTCTTCGGCCGGAATCTGGTTTGTTCTGTCCCACAGTAAGTTGTTGCTGATAGTGTTTGGCCAATGGATCCGAAGCATTTTGCGTAGACAACTGTTAATAAACACTTTTATCTTCTGGATGATAGCTTTCGTAGTTCTTCAAGTTATAGTTATTTTAAAATATTAGCATCATGACAAACAATTAAGTCATTGAAAATATTTAAGGATATGTAAGGATAATTAGATGTATTCAAATTAATGTACTAACTAAGAATCCTTAAAATAACGCGATTTCAGGCAGGTAGAACTAGATAAACACAACTGGACGTAATATATAGTTAGTATTTGTAACAACTTCTCAATCAAGTACAAAAAAATCATCATTCAGTGCACATACAACACATTTGAACAATAAACTTTCTTTTATTTCTTTCGCCCCCAAATGCCCTGGTGCGGCCGAGAGTGGGGAGAGTCCGCTCTCCCTCTCCAAATGCTCTCACATGGCCACGAGTATATAGCCTCTGACAGGGAAGTCCTACTCACTACCTTCTCGTGGCATTACTGTTGTTTACGAAATTGAGAGGACGAAAAGCGAATGTCCGGCACCGGCTCTAACCGGATCCCAAACCAATGGTGCACATGGGCTGGCTCCAGTATCCTGCAGGAACAAATGGTGTATGAACCGATCGTTGGTCACCGGCTACCATAGGACTGCATCTCCTCACGATGCTCCACTGCCTTGTGGGTCAGACGTTCAGGTCGAAGGCTCGGGGTGTGGCCCCCTAAGAAAACCACCTGCTTCGGTTTGGGCACCCGGGCAGTATCATAGCCCTCAGTGTCCGTTGGCTGAAAAGCATTAACAACAACCTACTATAACAGAGAACAAATCAGACTCTAAATGAAAAGTCAATTAGAAAAAGATGCCGTAAGTGATTAGGACACATATTGAGGAAATCATTAAACTACCTGTCGAGGCAAGCCTTAACTTGAAATCTTGATGACAAAAGGAAAAGAGGAAGATCAAAGAACATATTGCATTGGAATGTAAAGGCATACATCGAAAGAATAAGTAGCACTTAAAAACAAATAGAGAGTACAGCTAAGGTTGGAGAATCCCAAACTGTGGTCTGTCCTTCACGAAGGGTGACAATAAGTACGTATTTCTCAATAATTAAGATAGAGGCTAAACACCGTTTCTTTATTCTATAAGAAACCAGTCCAATCCAACAACATCAGAAAAAAGAACGCATGAAGCTTTCTTGTTACATTTGGGTATCAAGAAAATAAAGACTGATCTCTGACACCAAAGGATTTACTGTTTCAACAAAGTATAATATTCTTTTACAAATGACTGAAATGTAAAATCTTTAATTGAGATCATGAACCGATTGACGTTAGGCCACCATTGAAAACCTGGAAGCACTGAACGGCCGTTTCGTCCTATTGTGGGACTCCTTCTTCACAGTGCGCATCCACTATCCCGCTCTCGAGACTCGAACCCAGAGCATCCAGTCCCACGCGCGAACGCTTAATCTGCTGGGCCACTGAGCCGGCATCCAATGGTATTAATGTCTAACCTCAACCGATCCAAGAAGTTGCGCAACCATCTTCCATTGTACTAAGGTAGACACCTGTTTCTACCCGACACGGATCTTTAGTTGATCACAAATAGCATAAGATAAGACAAGATTATCAATAATTAATGAGTAAAGATCATATTTTACCTTAATTGATCATGAGTATCAGAGTACAAAAAGCCTATATTGATTTTTCTATGTTTAGTTCCTACTAGTTTGAATAACACTTCAACCCTTGTTAATTATATATGCAAGGCCTAAACCATAGATTTTGAAGGTGAATATTTGTGGCTGATTTTTAATTATTTTTGCATATTTGAATAACTGGTGACCTCTCAAAATATTCAGTGAGACATTCTAATTTAAATTACCACTTTACGACTATATGAAAACTTCAATAGTTGAAATCATGAGTTGATTGAAATTAGACTACCATGGAAAACCTGGAAGCACTGGACGGCCGTTTCGTCCTAGTATGGGACTCCTTATTAATGTCCAT